TGCTTTTCACCCCTCACAAAGTGACAACCCCTTCCACCAATCCACTGCCCCCCCACCCCCGATAGCATACATATCTATTACAATTCCATTGACTCATATTTTTAAAACTCACTCATTTTTACTGGAAATAGAATTTGGTGGCTGTAGAAAGTCAGATGATAGCATGAATGCAGGGAAGCTATAGGCCCTGAAGTCAGACAAATTCAGGATGAAATTGCAGTTCCATCACTTACTACTATGTGGTTATGAAAGCTATTTAACCACCATGACTCTTCATTTCCTCATCGATAAAATGGAAAATAATACCTTCCTTGAATGAGCATGGTGAACATTCCATATAACATGAGCTGTTTCTGTAGAGACCTAGCAAGTACTCTGCAGTTGGTCTACACATTATGCCCAACACTATTAGATAAGAATTCTTATTCTCACTTCTCAGATGAGACTGCTGACGGATAAGGCAATCATGGGACTTGCCAAAGTTTTCATAGCTAAAACTGTTGCCTCTTCAGACTGAGAGTAAATTTATGAATACTGGGTCGTTCCCCATCCCTGTGAGCTGGGTTCCATATGTTTTGTTCTGAGTGGTAAACACTCTTTGACTTGAATGAATGAGAAACTGACCTAGAGGTGGTGAGCAGACAGTACCTGTGAGGATTTCAGCTGCCCGTTCTGTCGTTTTCTGAATCAGGAGTCTCAGGGTCCCGCCTTCCAAGCTCAGCAGCAGGGTCCCCGAGCCCTCAGACAGCTCTGTGGACAGAAGCAGACCATCCTTGTTCCATGTTCGAAACTGGAAACCCACTGAGAGCCCATCAATTTGGGGGGTGCCGGGCAGCAGCAAATAACTGCTGCTGGAGTTGATAAATGTGATGGGAACAATTTGTGGTTCGGAGCAGGAAAAAGTGACATTGCCCTGGAAAACAATAAAAATCAAACATATAAAAGCCATTTTTTATTCTGCAATCTGACAGCTAATATAAACAACCACCTGAAGCTGACCTTAATTTTAGGATCATTCCACATTCAGCTGCAAGATCTTAAAGGGAAAAATGTGTCAGCTTTATTCAGATACACCAGCAAAACTGCTTTCCACTCCCATGTTAAGGATCTGCAAACAGGGCTGTCAAAGACCTGGGCTGGGTGGGGAAAGGGAGCATGGAAAGCATCAACATCTTTTAGGGAACCAGATATAAAAATAATTACATTCGTTCATCGAATACATATGCACTGCAAGTCAACTACGTACCAAGCACTGGGATAACACATGAAAAAAACTTAGTTATAATGTGGAATGTGCTAAAAGAGAGCTAGACCCCAGGGGAGTGTTAGAAGAAATAACCACATAGGCAAAGCTTTCACAAGAGGGGGTGATGCTTTCCTGGAAGGATGTGGGGAAGGAAAGGAGTGTGTCCAGCTCACCTTTTCAGCAAAAGGCACAGTGTGTGTTTTCTGGACATTAAGTGGGGAAAGGAGGACCAGGGACCATGAGGCAGAGTTTAAAAGCCCTTTTATGCTTGCTAAGTTATCAAACTGAGAAGCAGTAAAGTAGAAGATTTTTAATTCAGTAAGAGTGTTTTCAGTAACACGGGGAGTGGAGGCGGGGATGAGAGGGCTAGAGGTGGGGAATATTAAGTAGGCATAGACTAGAGCCAGAAAGAAGAGGAAGATAATCATTCTTCACATAAGGGAGTGAAAACTGGTCTGGGATGACTAAAGGAAGCTCGGACAGCAGGAAGTTACAGAAATATACAGTACTATGTATATGTGCACAAATGAGCCATGCACTGGAGTCATTTCCACGAGATGACTGAAGAGAAAGTCTGGGGTGCCTTACAAATTGTGAGTAGCTATTATATGAGGAAAGTCATTTGGAATTTTTATCTCAAGCCCCATAGCTGACCACACGCTGCTTTTCATCCCTATCATTTATAAATTTTAGATTCCAAACTAATCTCTACAACAATATAGGTAAGAGTAACACATGATTCTCACCTAAATAGTCATAGACACATCCAGTTTCATGTGAATCTTTCCTTCCAAGGAAAGTCACTGAATGACTTGACTACCTTTTTGAAACACTCATAAGTGGCCGGTGCCACTTATGAAAAAAGACAGGGATTTCCCAAGAGGGACCATCCTGGCTTGACTGGCTGCTGAATTAAACTTTCCACAAAGGTGGCCAGGTAAGTGGGGTTAGATATCTACTAGAACTCTGAATCCTAGAGCAGGTTTTTTTTTTGTCCAGCTGCAAATCCCTCACAGTCTGGAAAGCCCTCCCTCAGTCCCAACCGCATTTGTGTATGATCGTCTTGCATTTCTGAAAACAAGCAGCCGTCTCCAAACAAACTTCTACCAACAGTGCATTTTTAATGATTCACTCATCAAGCACGCTGCTATGAGCATATTTTTGCATTCATCATTTGTGCTAGTTGCTTAGATGTGTTTTTCTCTTTAGGCTAGATCCCCAGAAGGTAATTAATGTGTCAAAGGGTAAAGCTCCTGCTATCCATCAGAACATTGCCCACAGTTTATACGACTCCACTGTGCCTGGCAGGAGGCTAAGCGCTTACGTACATAGCTCATGTATTCGGCACAGTAACACTGCATTCATTTAAAGAACATACAAACCAGGTTTAGAGAAGGTACACTATTTAACAAAAGCCATCTACCTCCTTCATAGTGACAATGGGAGACAAACCTGAGTTTATCTGACTTGGAAGACACTGGTTTTAGCCACCACTTTTGATATTGTCGTCCTTTGTACTGGGTACCAGCAATTAAATAATAATTAAAAAAACAAATCTACCAACTTGCTCATGATATCTTGTTGTTGTTTTAATTTGTTTTTTTTTTCTTTTTTTTAAAATTATTTCTGGTGGTTTTTCATTCAAGAATGAAAATATCTCCACTGATGGCAGATTAATTGAGGCAGGGCTATCTTCTGGAAGAAAGAAAATCACAAACACTCCTACAGCAAAGTTGGGGGGTAGCAAAAACTTCTCTTGCTCTCTTCTATTTCTGAGGTCAGCATCACATGCTCTGGTAAAAAATTTGCCAGAGCAAGACTGTACTCAAAGTTTGAGGCTGTGGAGAAGGGGACTTGGCTGAGAAGCAGTAGCAGAGGCTGTACGTAGAAATGGAGGATATTGTAAAAACACCCCTTCCTCTTATGGGAGCCAAAGAAACTTTTGCCTTACCCTTTTAGTATTTCTGGATAGGCAAAGAATTCAAATGACATAGAGCAGATTAATAGGAGAAAATCAAAATTTTAAAACATGTGCATGGGGATTTCACACAAGCAGAAAAATCCCCAAAACAGTGTGGCAAAATGAAGTACC